AGAGCAATGGTTTTTTAAACTCGTCTTAATAAAATTCACCAAGTTGATCTGCTTTGTTTGTCTCATGACAAAGTTGATCGATATATTTATTAATAAACATTAATGGTTGTTGAAGTAGCTAGCCGCTATAAGGACGCTGAATCTATCTCTAACAAAAAGGCTGTTTCAAAGACTCTAGCTAAAATTAAAAAATTAATAAAAAAACTGATAGTTAATTTTTTTTTTCAATTTTCTGTTTTTAAAAAAATTTTAAACTAACTTTATTTTATAAATTTTTATATATATAATTTTTATAATATAATCTCGTTACGGAAGGGCTAATATACAAGAGTGAGAATAAATTTTTATTATTACTAATTTTTAAATTGATCATAGAATAAAAATTGACTAGAGATGGTTAACTAGTTAATGAGTACCCAGTAGGCACAAGATGTGTTTAAGACATCTAAATCATGTATTACAACGTATTAATCTAAAACATATCTTGTGCCCACTGGTTAATATGTGAAGATTTTGTTAAAACCAAAATGAAAAAAAAAATTGTTGATATTTTAGTTTTTATTCTAATATTTTATGTTCTTTATTATGAATGTGTTAAGAAATAAATAGTATAAATTTTTTAAAATGAGGAATTTTTTTTTGCAAACAATTTTATTTTAATTTTCTTGATAAAAATTTTTTTATTACAATAATTTAAAGTTTAATTTAAAGATATTATAAATTATTATAAAGATAATATTTGTGCCGGGATAGCTCAGTTGGTTAAAGCGCTGCTATAAAGTTTGTAATAATTTTTGGCCCTAGCAGCAGGATTACAGGTTCAAATCCCGGCTCAGCCTACTCAGCGTATGAGTAGTACTTCGGTACGAAGGGAACTTGTCTCTATTAGCTCTGCTATTACAATGTTTTCTTCTCAATTAGTAAATAAATAATCTAGTTGAGTAAAAGAAAATAATCGTTTAATAACTTTATAAACTATTATAAAGATAAAGACTTAATATGATTTTTAATATGATTTCAAATTAAATTTAATTACAATTGGGTACTTTAAAATATGCAACTGACGTAATTCAACTTTTAACAACATAAACATGGATATTGAGTCAAGCTACATTTATTTGCATTACGGTTTTCCTTTATGCAAAAAAATATTTTTTTCATTTATTTTTCAATCTTCTTTTTCTGAAAAAGTTGTATAAAAATCTACCATTCATTTTTTGATCTACCAGGGCTATTCATTTTTTGATCTACCAGGGCTATTTATTTTTTGATCTACCAGGGCTAATCATTTTTTGATCTACCAGGGCTATTCATTTTTTGATCTACCAGGGCTATTCATTTTTTGATCTACCAGGGCTAATCATTTTTTGATCTACCAGGGCTATTCATTTTTTGATCTACCAGGGCTATTCATTTTTTGATCTACCAGGGCTATTAAATTTTTTGATCTACCAGGGCTATTAAATTTTTTAATTCACAACCCCATATTATGAATTTTTTTTATATTACTGAATATAAATATAAAATAAAAACATTTAATATTTTGTAATTATTTATTGATTAGAAGCAATATATATGCATGTTAAAAAATACACAGTTATACAAGTTCATGTGTTTCAATATTTTTCATTAAAATCTTACAACTGCAATATTTCGTTAAGCAAGTCCATAGTTAAAGAAGCTTTGATATACACAATAGTATATAGATCAGCAAATAATATTTACCAAAAATATTGTTTTTTTTTTTTTGAAAAATGCTGTAAAATTATCAAAATTTGTGAATGCATTAATATTTTTTTTCAAGCCAGCGTCAATAAAAACGATTTCCTTATAAAATTTATATAAACTTCTTTTATTATCCATTAGACAAGATTTTTACCATATTAATGTTAAGTATCTACTGAAATGCAAACTTTTTAATAAAAAAGGTTTTTATGAATATTTTAAATGCAATAAATCTTCTTTTTAAAAATTCTTATTTCAGTTCTTATTTCGATTGTTTTCAAATATGTTTCTTTTATTTTAACTAAAGTTTGGTAACTTTCCAATAACTTTGAAATTTTAAACAAAAATAATAATTTTGTTAAATTAAATAGTTTAAAAATGAATAAATTTAGTTTATATATCACTCTGGACCAGAGAGAGATCAGTTTCACTTGCTAAGAATAAAAAAAACAGGAAATTCTGGACCCCTCCCCCAATTAAAAAACAAGGGGTTGTTAATTTTACATAGCCACAGCTCCTGTATATCAAAGTACTTGTAATGAAATTTGAAGTTATTTTTGATTTTAGTTGTCAGTATATTTTTTTTTTTCGAAACCACATTTAACTGAGTTTGGCCTGGATTGAGTTTTAAGTTGTAGGCCTGGGTTGTTGAAATTTTTGGATTTTATTTGTCCTCTTGAAAAAAAAATTGCTATAATCCCATGATTTTTTTTAAGAATATAATTAACTTTTATTTAACAATAAAATGAAATAAAAATTTTTACTGAATATAATTTCAATATAAAACTAAGTATTATAATCTTTTAACTCTAAAATCAACAACAGCAGTTTTCAATCTAACTCCCTAATTTTTATGATTAATATTGTGTTTATATCGTTGCTATGTAGGCTTAAACTTTGCATGAATCACTTCACCACACTGTTCTGCATACTTTGACAAGCCACGTCCTGCATGCTTTACAAAAGAAAAAACATGAAAACATATAATGAGGATTTTCCATGAGACTGTTAATGTTTTTACAAGCGAAGAACCTGTTGCTTGTAGGCATAGAAAAGCATTTTTAAGCAATGATATTTTGTGTTCTGAATTAAAATCATGATTTTTTCCCAAACAAGTTTCTTTAACAGATTTAAAAGTTCTTAAGCTTTGGCCTACAGGAAGTAAATATGGTTCTTTAAGTTGTACTTGTACTTCAAGTTGCACTTCAAGTTGAAATGAATCAAGTAGTTTTAAAATTTTATTTGCATTATTACCCATCCAACTCCCTGATATCTTCTTTTAATTATATTGTGTTTTATTAACCACAACTCAAAACCCACTCCACTTTTATTAACCACAACTCAAAACCATCCCACTCAGTTAAAAGAAACCCCGCTATCTTATCCACTGCTATAATAAGAAGTTGTAACTCAGGTGGAGCAACTAAATTTTCTAGCAAAGTATTTTTATCCATGCTCAGATATAGTAGGCGTTTGTTCACAATATTATAAAATTCCTTAATGGAAGATCTAATGGATTCATTTTTAATATATGCTTCATAACAGGAATCAAGATCACCAATAGTTCTAAGAGTTCCAATATCAAGTGTACATTTGCCACTACACCACAAGACAGCTTTTTTACTTGTGTGTGATGAAAGACCAAATAATACATTTGCATATTTAAGATCAAAAGCAATATAATAGTTTAAATCTTCAAGATTAATTTTCTCATGCACTAATCTCAGGTTTTCATATTTTTTAGGAATATCTTCAACAATGACTAAAATAAGAACTTTTTGAACTCCACTATTTTGAAATTTATTTTCAGATTCTTTTTCTTCCTCCAAAATGTTAGCAACAATTTTTAGGAATTGGTAGGAATCCATCTTCTAAAGAAACTCTTACAAAACCTACACATAAAATTGTACCTCTTTCTTTAATAATATGCAAGATCAAATCAGAGAGATTTTTAAAATTAACTAAGTCTCTTATGATAAGTTCATTCTGGTTAGAAAGAAATTCAACTTTTTCTACACTATAAAATCAAAAGTCATCTTCCGCTTGATCCAGTCCTAGTTTCATCAAAGAGTTTCTTCCGCTTGATCCAGTCCTAGTTGCAGAACAAAGATTTTTAATTGCATTGTCAGAGAGTTCAAAGGAGACTTGCAATTCCATAACTGTTTAAAGAGAAAGTTGTTTACACATCTGTTATTTTTGGGAGCTCTAACTCTAATAGAGATATGTTCCTGTGTTCCTCGTGTTTTTAGTTTAAAAACTGTCCCTTTTTCTATACCTTTGCTCTCCATCTTTTTTTAATTATAGCACTGGCTATTTTTTATGCATATTCTATTATTGTAAACAGTGGCCAATCAAGTTGTCTACAGCAGCAGCTTGTGTACACTGATGAGAAATGCCTTTCCAGTAACAAGAAAACTAATGCTGCATATGTTTTCAGACACTTTCGGTTCATTCAAAATCGGAGCACTGATACCCAAACATTGATCTGAAAATCGCCTTATGTTGGCCCAATCAACTTGAAGCATTTCAGCTTACAAATTAACAAAAAACTAACTACAACTTAACAAATAATTATGCAAAGAGTTTTAAATAATTATGTTTTAGTTATGTTATATATCTAAATATATGTTGTATATAATCATTTGTTGTATTTACTGCCACCAATGAGCAGAATCCTGATAGTCTATAATAATGTTTAAATGTATAATATTTCAATAATTTGTAAAAAAATTTGAATTTTTTTACATAACATAGAAATATTATACATTTAAACATTAGTATATATGTATTATATATAACACATTTACAAAAACCTTTTTACATGACATTGAAATATTATACATTTAAATATAAAAACTTTATATTTAAATGTAGTTTTATTTTACTTACTTATTTGCACATTTATGACAATTTACACATTGATTTGACAATTATTCTGTCTTAGCAAGTGAAACTTTAATTATGATTAAATCATGTTACTATAATGATAACAATAATTTATCAGTGAAAAAATCCCAGGTGACACTCCATTCAGGTGACACTCCATCCAAATGACACTCCATCAAACCTAAAATGCTTTCTGGTCTACATTGGTATGTTTAATAGTATTAAATTAAGAAATATTTATTACACACATTCAATATGTTAAAAGCTTTATTCTAGTTTTAATCTAATCATAATTTTTATCAAAGTTACAAAAAGAAACAATATAGGTCAAAGTAAAGTTGATTTAAAAAAATTGTTAAAAAAAGATTTGAGATTTGTAATTGATTTAGGTCAAGTTCCAGTATCACACCATGGGTACGAAATGGTTGAAGAAGAAAATAATAAGATATTGGCTTCATTAACATCTAAAGTTCAAGAGCTGAAGAGTGTAAGTTTTTGAAGTTTGATTGTATAATTTTTGTTTAATAAATTTACTTCTAACCAGACCCACACAACCATGTTGGTAGTTACTAGGAAATATAGATAGTAAAAATAGCAAGAAAATGGCTGATAAGTAAGAGTTTTTTAAAGTATATATACATATACATAAGTATATATGTATATGTAAATATACTTAAAAAACAACATTTGCTGTAGGAATGTAAAAAAAAACGTAAAGAAACATAAAAAAAAAGGGCCTCAAATTTTAAATCTACACCCAAATATGGTCAACGATGTCAAAAAAAGTCTAGAGTAGCCACTGATATATATATATATATATATATATATATATATATATATATATATATATATATATATATATATATATATATATATATATATATATACGGTGGCGTATTTTATGATAAACACATCAGGTCTACTAAATAATCTATAATTGGAGTATTTTTATTTTTATCGAAGTTTACTTTTGCTTACATTCATTTGTTATCATGACTCTTTTACTCTGCCTCTGATATGAGGCTACAATAAAAAGTTTTTAAGCAATTAAAAGAAAGTTAAATATTATATGTTCTAGGAAACTATTAAATGATCTTTTAAAAAAATGCTAAGAAAGTTTTTTGGATTGGAAAACCTGATATCCTTCATTTTGAAGAAGAATCATTGAAATAACCTAGATTCATACAATTCAGATAAGCTATTTTTATATGATCAAATGACGAAATGAAAAATGACACTTGGTTCAAATGATTTAGCATATTGCCGAAAGCTGAAAAAGATAGAAGAAGGAAGATTGCAATATTTAACATTTATTGAGCAACAAGATGATCAAACTGAGAGAATTGAGTTTCTATCATCAGAACAAAGTGAGGTCTCTTCTTGGTAGAACTCCAACTATTCAGCAGACGAAATGAAATCAGGTACTAGTGCTTCAACAGTATTACCTAAAAAATTTGCAGAAGAAGTTGCAATTACAGGTGTTTCTAAAAATATTTTACCTAGAAATATGATGCACTTGCTCTCTGACATAGTAGTTACTTCTGGGGGCAGTTCGACAGATTTTTCACTTTCTGAATCTACTATCGAGCCAAGCTTGGTCAGGAAGGTGTGCAATTTCACGGCTTTACATGACCACGCAAATAATATTTTGTTTTGACAATTTGACCACAGTTTTAACATTTAATAAAGTGCTGAAAACTCAACTTAGTTATATAGAAACTAAAAGAACAAACTTATTTTTAAAAAAGAAAAAAATCTTAAAAAATAATGAAAAATAAAATAAAAATAGCTTAGTAATAAATAACTAAAACAAAAATAAAAAAAATAAAAACAAAACTTAACTAAAATAAATAATAGACAATAAGATAATTAGGTTTAAAATAAATAACTTTAAATCTTTACTAATGTTTTTATAATGTAAAACTAGTGGTGTCGCATCTGCTTTTTTATTGCACCATATAAAAATATATTGATAGTAAAAAAAAAAAAAAAATGCTAATCGACAAAAAAAAGGAAATAAACACTTTAGTTTTTATAAAAAACTTCATCACGCATTAGTGGTATTTTAAAAAAAAATGATTCAACTTAGCATTAAACTTTTTTAACTGTTTTTTTTTTTTGAGGGAGGGGGGTTGAGGGGGAGAGGACACATTTCACAAAAATGACAACTGACAAACAAAAACAACATGTTTATTTTTTATTATATAGACATAGCGAAACCCTTTTCAACAAAGTAACAACTTCCAATGATTTTTAAATAAATACGCACATTTAAAATATAACAACAAAAATAACTTTACAATTCTTCTGTAACAGATGTAAATAAATGTAAACAAAAGAAAAATAATTAAATCTTTTCTTTTGTCAGAAATCCAATATAAGAAAGCAAATGAGGAAAAGTGAAGATAAAAACGAAAATAATTGAACAAAACTATTCCTTTAATGATAATTTGATTTAATTTGTTAATAATTTAATTTTTTTTTTAATTGAGGAAAAATAGTTATCAAAATTATAAAAATAAAATTATATTTATATATTTTTTTTAACTTGCATTATTGCAAAAACAATTTGTTATATTTTGAGTATGTTAACTTTAATCAATAATTTTTTTTTTTAGAGACAAAAGAAAAATACATTGATACTTTAATGCAAAAAACACATTAGCAGTGAATTGTTACTTTATTTAAAAGCGTTTTAATAATATTAAATTATTATTTAACATTAGTAAAGATCAAAGTTATTTAATTCAAACGGCTGTCTTTAATTCAAAAGTTTGTCTTTTTTTCTACTCAACAAAATCTTTTTGAGTGTATTGACTTAAATGTTTCTTAAATAAAGTTTATTAAAGAGACAATCATTGTTTAAAGTTATCACTTATAAAATTTAAATAACAAAAAAATAAATAAAATTAATTATAAAAAAATCTTATATGTTATTTTATTTATTAATTATATAATCTTATATATACTTAAATAATATAAAAATTTATACAACTTTCATTTATACTTTAAATTAAAACGTTAACGGTTACTTTATTTAAAAGCATTTCGCTAATATATAAACGTTAGTAAAGATAAAAGTTTCAAAGGTATTTATTTTTGACGTAATTAAAAATAATTTTTTGACGTGCAAAAAAGAAAGCAATAAGTACAAGTGCAGCTAAATATAAAGAAGATATAATAAAAGCTGCAAGTCAAATTTAATTTCTAATAATTGCATACTTTAATGGAAAAATCTTGCAGGATTTTACTAACGATACAAAACAAAAAAGAGATCGTTTTGCTGTTCTTGTAAATATTGATGGCGATTTAAAACTTCTTGGCATTCCCCCAATGGAAAACGGTACTGGAAAATCTCTTCATGATACTTAAATAAACATTTTGGATGAATATAAGCTAAGAACTTATATAAAAGGTCTGTGCTTTGACACAACTGCAACTAATTCAGGAAAATATTCTGGCACAAACATTTGGTTTTGTCAAACACATGGTTCAATTATATTACATCTTGCATGTTAAAGGCATGTTTATGAGCTTCACTGTAAACATTTTTGGGAAAAAGTTCACATTGGTAAAACTTATGCTCCTGAAAATCTGATGTTCAAAGTTTTCCAAGCTAATTGGAATGCAACAAAGGAAACTATGGATGAATCAAAGTTTAAAAAGTTTGACGAAGCTGCAGTTAAAGGAATGTATCTAGAAAAACAGATAAAAAAAACTGTTCAATTTTGCAAATATGCAGTTGCCAATTTAGTATTTCTAAGAGGTGATTATAAAGAACTAGTAGAACTTACACTCACCTACTTACGTTCAGATGTAAGTAGGTGAGTGTAACCTACTTATTTTCAGATGTAAGCTTTAATGTTTATGCTTCAGGATCTGTTTCCCATGCTCGTTTTATGGCAAAGTGTATATATTATCTTAAAATTCAAGTTTTAAGTAATCAGTTGCCTACCAATCGGCAGCTTGTTTACAAAAAGAAATAAGTAAAATTGCAGAATTAATTTCTATGTTTTATACTCTGTGGTTTGTGCGTTCCTCTTTACTTTTCTTCTGCACCTTTTCAAGATATAAATGCTTACTGGCAGATGGTCCAGTATAAACATTGGGTAAAATTTTATGATCCAGGAGCTAATGATGTACTAGAGGGAATTGAAGAAGTATTGATATCAATGGAGAGATATATGTGGTATTTGGATCAAACCTTGATTCCATTATGTCTCGCTGATAATGAACTCGAAAAGGATGAGAAAAAAAAAGTTGCTAAAGTTCTTTTCTCGCAACCTGTTCCTACTCACTATGAGAAGTCTGAAAATCCAATCCTTCTGAAAGATCTAGACTTCACCCAGGAGAAACCACCTCGCTTTTCACAGTTGGTTGGTAGGAATTTGTGGTTTACTTTCAGTCTGTTAAATTTGAGTAAAGACAGTGATAAACCTTGGCTAAACTGTCTAACATCTTTTTGGGGCTTTATTGACCAGTTTAAAACTTTCATTGAATTTGTTCGCGGAATATATTTTGTCAATGACTGCTCTGAACAAGCAATTAAGCTTGTGCCAGAGTTTGTTAATTCTGTTCACAATGGAGTGGACAGGCAAGATTTAATGTTGGCCATTCAGCATAGTAGAGATCAATTCAGGGAGTTCAAAAATGTAAAAACTACGGAAAGTGGCAAAAAAAATGTAGCTGACAAAACATAGTTTAAAGAATATTTATTTGATTTTTTACCAAAAACACGAAGAAAAGTTTGTTGAGTTAAAGTTTTACAAAGTTTTTGTTTGTATTTGAAGAAAATTTTTTCTTGATCATTTTTTAATTTATCACTGTTGACCTTAACAATATCGTTATATATTTTATCGTTATTTTACCTTAACTATCCCAGCTATACGATATTCAGCAAAATAAAATTGTTTGATTAAAACGCTTATTTTGCAGCGGCTATATGAAAATCAAATCAAACTAAATATGAAAATAAAACTTCAAGATAGATGGTACATAAGGGTCAAATCATTACATTTCAACCGATGGCCTTTGGGTCACCATCTCTGATTTTCCTGATTTTTACATATTTTTATGTGCAATATGTAGATAGGTTAAATTTGAAATTTTAGACTTCCAAGTACAACGGTCAGAAATTATAGCCTTAGAAACATGACACAGTGGTCCCTCTCGATTTACAAATGGTTAAAACAGGCTACTTTAGAGCTGTATAACTTTTTTCTCACTTTCAGCAAGTGTCTCATTTTTTTTAGAACTGTTTCTGAATAGTTCTCTCTTTAGAAAAAGTGGTTTTTAAGAACTTGTGTTAAATTTGAAATTATGACCTCTTCAACTTTGGAAAAAACCCTAAAATTGCTAAAATATGCCAAAATGAAACTAACTTTTTATTCTATTCATCCACAAGTTTTTACAGATTCTGACTAGCTACAACTGTCTGCAATTAATAAGCAAAATATAGGCAGCTTGTTGCTGTTTATAACTCAGATA